TCCCCGCCACCTCCCCGCCTCAGTGGGTGGCCGCCTCGCCTTCTCTCCTCCCAGGTGCCCTTTCGAGGGCGACAGCTACAGGACCCGCCTGGTGGCCTTGGACAGGGCTGAGCTGCCTTTCCCGGCGCATTACCAGCGCTTCACCGTGGCCACCTTCGCGTTCCTGGACTCCGGCTCCAGCAGGGCCCTCAGGGGACCGGTGAGAAGCCCGTGCCCTGTTCTGGGCTCCCTGTGCCCCGTGTCCTGTGCCTGCTCCCCGTGCCTGCTGTCACCACATCCCTCAGCACCCGGCCAGCTGGGGCAGACACAGGTTCCCAGACGGCTCGCTTCACCAGGTGTCCTGGAGGCCCCAGTGCTGGTCTCAGGGCAGCCGAGGTGGCTGGTGAACATGGGGGGGTTGGAGGGGGGGAACGCCACCCTGAGGCTGAGCCCCGTCACGGGCTGAGAGCAGCCTCGCCTGACGCTGCAGCGTGTCCGGCCTGCTCCGCTGGGAGTCTGTCTGCCCAGCAGCGTCTCCCGAAGGCAGACGCGGCGAACACGGGTGTCCTTGGGGTTCCTGCACGACATACACAGGCATAGAGGCCACACCCGTCGTACAGCTTTTGTCCCACTGAGCAATATCTATCTTTCATGTTAACATACACAGATTCTCTATATATTTTATTTATTTTTAAAAACATTTCTATTAATGTCAGAGAGGAAGGGAGAAGGGGAGAGAGAAACACCAGTGATGAGAGAGAATCATGGACCGGCTGCCTCCTGCAGGCCCCACACTGGGGATGGAGCCTGCAATCTGGGCATGTGCCCCGACCGGGAATCGAACGGAGACCTCCTGGTTCCTAGGTCGATGCTCAGGCCCTGAGCCACGCTGGCCGGGCGCCTCTACATCTTAAACAGCTGCACACACATCACCTCCCAGGTAGAGGCTTCACGGGTGGCCCCTGAGGGTGGCCAAGTCCTCTTCGCAGCTGTGAGCCTTTCCTGTCCCTGGCCGGCCTCCGGGTGCAGGCTCGGGTCAGCCCCTCCTGCCTCTGCTCCTTCCGGGGTCGCCCTAGGCTTTGTGCTCAGGAAGCGCGCCAGCCTGTCTTCCCCCTGCCCGTGGGCACTGGGGCCAGGCCAGGTCAAACCCCACCTTCTAGACACCTCCTCTGTCAGTCACTCGCTCTGGGAGCAAGACGGCCTCCCAGGGGCTCTGCGGCCGGAGGAGTGCGGGGGGACAGGCCGAGGGCTGGGCAGTGGTCCCTGCCCTAAGGACCTGGGCAGTGGGGAAGGAGAGGAGACGCATGGGGGGGGGGGGGGGGGGCAGCACCCACACATTGTGACCCCCCTGGCAGCGGCCACAGTGCCGTCCTGGCCTGCGGGCTCAGATGCTCCCCCGCCCGCCTGGGTCCGGGGTCCCTGCCTCGGTGCTTCTTCCAGGGCCGGAGCCAGCGCCTGCCTCGGCCTTTTTCTCCTCCGCCAGGTCTACTTCTTCTGCAGCGCCTCCGCCTGCTCCCCGTCGGGGCTGGAGCCCTGCTCCGCTCCCTGCGGCTCCAGGACTGCACGTGCGTCTGGGGTGGGGGTGATGGGGGAGGGGGTGTCTGTTTTCTTA